CATTCACTTCCCTTTCTCCCGATGTGATCCAATCCAGCTTCCAACCCCAACCCCATACGCCAGTGAAGCTACTTGTCAAAACAGCCACGTCCACGTCCACATCCACGTGGCCAAACCCACACGGGCATTTCTCTGTCCTCACGGGTTAACTTCTCAGCAGCATTTGGCAGAGGGACCAGCCCCTTTCTTGAAAGGGTAACTCACTCTCCCACTTTAATGGCCGGACCTTCTCAGTCTCCTTTAGCCACTGAAGTGTTTTATAGCTTGATCTTAAGGCCTCTACGATCACAAATCATCTCAACCAGTTCCATGACGTCCTGTACCATGTGCATGCTACCGAGTCCCAAAACTTACGGGAACTCCTCTCAGCTCCACTTGAGTATGTACTGCCTACTTGACTTTTCACTTGGATGTCTCACAAATATTTAAAAAACATTACAAGTTCAGCACAGAATTCTTGTCTCCCCGACCCTCACCCCCACCCAGCCTGTTCCTCTTCCAGTCTTCAACCAGCAAATGGCACCATCAGCCCCCAAGGCTTAGGCCAGAATCACAACCCATTCAGTAAATATTTCTGGCTCCACCCCCAAAATATCTGAACCCAACGTCTACTCTGCTCCATCTCCACCGCCACTGCACTTGCTAAGATACCATCAACCAAGAGCGATTCCAATAGCCTCCCTGCTTCCTCTCTCGCTTCACAGCAGCCAGAGATCTTTAAAAAGGAAAACACATCACTGCCCCAATTAAAGCCCTTGGAAAGCTTCTCATTCTCATTAAAATAAAATCCCAAGCCCCATTCTGCCTAACACAAGAGGCCCTGAGGGATCTCTCCAACGCCATCTTACTCCTCCTGCTCCTAACACCCATGACTGTTGGCCTTCCGGGTCTTGGCACTGGTTCCCAGGCAGGCATGTCTCCCCAGCTTCCAGGCGGCCAGCACAAGCTCATGCTTCAAGTCCCAACTCAGTGTCACCTCTTCAAAGGGACGCCCCTTGACTCCTACTGGCCAGTCATTTCCATAATGCATTCCTTTAGATTCACCAGCTTTTTAACTTCTAATAATTTTTCTTAATCTGTGATTATCTTGATTATTTGTTTACTTATTTCCTGTTTTCCCCACAGTACTGTAAATTCCCTGAGGGCAGAGATCTTGTCTGTCTTGAATTCCACTAAAGGCTACTTTAAAATAAAGAAGCTACTGTGTCCCTCTCAGCAGGTTTATTTTAGATTTCCCTTCCTTTCAAGCTTCCTTGGATTTTAGTCAAAGAACATAATTACTTTGGCATTAACCATGAAAAGCAAGGGGAGGAAAGCCACAGAGGCAAAGATACAGGTATTCAATAGCTGCTCCTTACAGACACTTTAAAATGTGGACATTTAATTTTTACATTAAGAAGTCAAGGTTCTCGACCATCTCCCCTAGCAATTACTAAACACAACAGTGATCTGAGAAGAAAGAAAGGAAAGCACAAAATAAGCATGTGGTCCTCAGTCCCGAGAAGTTGGATTTCATCACTGACTGCTCCCATTCTGGTCAGGCTGGCTAGTGGTCCCCGCTGGCTCTGCCTCTGCCCGAGCTGCTGTGGCTTCAAGCGCACTCTGCTTGCCAGGCCCATGTTTAGAATGATCTCTCCATCCTGCTTCCCCAACCAAAACCCACAAGATAAAACTCAAAATTCAGAAAGCACACCCCCTTTCTTCCGAGGATTCATCTCTAGGCTTTTACTTTAGGATCTTTTCTAACCTATTCCTAATTCATCAATCCCACGTTCAACTCTATTTTTGTTGCACAATTGTCTTGACTAAGCTAGCTGCCCCATCTAGACCTAGAAGTCTGTTAACTTCTCACTAGAGCAGTGATGGCGAACCTATGACACATGTGTCAGAGGTGACACGCGAACTCATTTTTTTTTATTTCTCTTTGTTAAATGGCATTTAAATATATAAAATAAATATCAAAAATATAAGTCTTTGTTTTACTATGGTTGCAAATATCAAAAAATTTCTATATGTGACACGGCACCAGAGGTAAGTTAGGGTTTTTCAAAATGCTGACAGGCCGAGCTCAAAAGGTTCGCTATCACTGCACTAGAATGAGACAGGCTTTTAAAAATGTACTGAGATTGTAAAGTCACAGGATACACCTAAGCCACCTTTCTGTAAGAAAACAGTTTTGACACTTTGATAAATGGCAGCTACAGGAGAAAAATAAAAATGAGAATGATGCAATAAACTGCTGAAACTCAGAATGATATGGACCAAATCTCATGGTCCAATTACAAGAGCCAGCAGCACAGTGCAGTGCGGCTCTGCATGCGTGTCTGTGGCACCGGAGTCACCTGGAGAGCTTTGTCCTAACACTGACCGCGGCCTATTCAGATGCAGGAGGTACTGGGGGGGGGGGGGGGGGTCCAGAATTTCAAAATCGGAGGGAGTTGGGGGTATCAAGAAGTTGGAAAACGAAGAATCGGCTTAAAACTCAGGTTATTTAACCCATTGGACCTTTGGGAAAGAAACCAATGGCCCTAACAAATGAAGGGGTGATGTTGCAAATCTCTTTCAAAACATCTCCCCAGTGGATTCTATTCTCTCCCCCCCCGCCCTCCGCCCGTCCCCCCCCTCCCCCCAGTGGATTCTATTGCTCCGATGTGGACACCATAGGTGCAGAGCCAACAACACTGGCTTTTTGAATCCAATGTCAATTCTACCTGGTAAACAGGGAATAAAACCATTATTGCTGGGCTGACAGGATAAACAGGAATTAAATACAGCACCGAGCACAGCTCGGAAGGCTAGACGGTATGGTGAAGGACACACTGGTTGCCACTGTTACTTTCTTCACTGGAAATTACCGATCTGCCTTCCATCCCTGTGGGCTCAAGAGAGCAAAGCTCAACACCGTCCTCCTCCTCCCACTCACCCTTCCCGCAACAAGGTACCCAGTCCCATCCTCCCCCCTCTCAGCGCGGGCTCCTTCCAAGGCAGCGGTTCTCAACCTTCCTCATGCCGCGACCCTCATGTGGTGGTGACCCCCAACCATAACATTATTTTCGTTGCAACTTCATAACTGTAATGTTGCTACTGCTATGAATCGTCATGTAAAGATCTGATATGCAGGATGTATTTTCATTGTTACAAATTGAACATAATTAAAGCAGTGATTAATCACAAAACAATATGCAGTTATAGATGTGTTTTCCGATGGCCTTAGGCGACCCGGTCGACCCCCAAAGGGTCGCGACCCACCGGTTGAGAACCGAGTCAGGGCATATTTAATATTCCTATGGATTTGAGAGGAAGGGAGCGGAGGGAGGTCTAGGCGCTTCATTCCGGGCGGATGGGAAGAGCCAACAGCAAAGCCAGCAGAGGTTTCCCATCGCGGCCCCGCTGCGGCCCAGTGCGATGGCGGATAACCGTCCCTCCAGGCGGTTCTAACACCAGCAGCCACACACCGAGCGGAGTCGCCGGAGCCCGCACTGGGCCGGCCGACACGGCCCCGGGCTGCGCGGTAACCGGGCCGCCCCGCTCGCAGCCTTCACCGGCCCGGGAGGAGGAGGAGGCGGCGGCTCAGCGCCGGAGCCGGGCCGGGGAGAGGCCGGGCCTAGCCGGTGCCGGCCGCGGGGAGCGGGCCCGGGAGGGACCCAGCGGCCGCCGGGCGTCACCCGCGGCGGTGCGAGGCGAGCGGCCTCGGGGCCTCGGGCCCGGGGAGAGACAGCCACGCAGGCCCGGCCCCACGGCAGCTCCCGGCCCCCGGAGCGCGGCGGCCCCGAGCCCGCGGCCCCGGGCCGGCCAGGTGCCCACCGAGGCCGCCGCCCGCGCCGCCGGGGAAGATGGCGCCCGCGGAGCAACTGCGCCACCAGCCCTGGCGACCGGCCAGGCCCAGCGCCATCTTAGCACCTCCAACCGCCGCCGCCGACCCGCGCCAGACCCCGCGCTCGGGGCGCCTCGGGAGCCGGCCCGCGCCCTCTCGGCCCACGAGGGCCGCCGGGCTCCCCGCTCCGGCCGCCGCGGTCCCCGCAGGAGGCGCCCGGCCCGGCCGCGGGCTGGTGGCCGGCGCGGGGCTGGCGGCGCTCGGGGCGGCGGGGAAAGGCCGGGAAACGGGCCGGGGAGCCGGGCAGCCCGGCGGCCCTTCCCCGCGGCCGCCCGCCCGCCCGGCGGCGAGAGGAAGCCGGGGCGCCACGCGACCCTCCCCCGGCCGCGGCGCGGGGTCCATTTTGCCGAGAAGAAAGAAAATGCGATCCACACCCCGGAGCTTCCGAGGGAGACGGGCGCTGAGGGGGGAGCCGAGGGGAGGAGATTGGGGCTGATTTTCCTCCCCGCCGCCCGGCCCGGCCCCGCGCCGCCCGCCCGCCTTCCTGCCCGCGCCCGGCGGCCCGGGGGGCGGACGGCACTCGCACCACTAATGTCAAACCGGCTCCATCAGTGAGTCATTAGGCGCCCTCCCCCCGCGCCCGCCCGCGCCCGCGCCCCTGCCCGGCTCTCCTCTCCCCGCTCCAGAAATTTGCATCCGCGGGAGGAAGAAAAAAAAAAGGCGCGGGGCCCCCTCCGCCGGCGCCCCCGGCCCGGCCCGGCCCCGCGCCCCCGCCCGCGACACTGAACTTGGTCCTGCCGGGCCGGGCCGGGCCGGGCCGGGCGGCGGGGGCGCGGCGGCCCCACTCGGCGCCCCGTCCTCCGTGTCCATTCACCATCCACCCACCACCCCCATCACCCACCCGCAAACCCACCCCCCACCCCCCCAGAAAAAACACAGCCGTAGCCAATAGCTCTCTGGGCTGAAACCTAATATCCTGGTTTTGGCAACTCGGTGTTTAATTTGCTCCTCTTTCTTTTCCGCCGGCGGGAGGGAGACCTCCGGGCCCCCTCCCGCGCCGGTCCCCTCCCCGGAGGGAAGAGGCAGAGGAAGGAGGTGGTGTGGTTTTTTTTTCCTCTCTCTCTCTCCTCTCTCTCTCCTTGAAATTTTTATCACAAAATTATAATACACTCAAAGGGAAACTCACCGTCATGAAAAAGCAGTGCCTTGTCAACGGGGTTTCTGCGCCATCGCACCAGGGGCGGCGGCGGCGGCGGCGGCGGGCGCGGGGCGCGGGGCGCGGGCGCGGGAGCTCCCGGCCGAGCGGCGCCGGCCACACGCGCTCCGCTCTCTCTCTCTCGCTCACCCCCGCGCCGGGCGGCGGGCGCCCGCTCCCCGCGCCCGCCCGGCCTTCATGCTCTGCGCCCGGGCACAGCTCTCGCCTGCTCGTCTGCCTCCAAACTTCGGTTCTCGCCTATAGCAAAAAAAAAAAAAAAAAAAAAAAAAAAAAAAAAAAAAAAAATTAGGGAAGATTTAGGGTTCTTTTTTAATTAAGAAAAAAAAAATTTTTTTAAATCGAGCTCCAAAGATGTTAATTCCTGTTTCCTTTGGGATTTTTTTTTTTTTTTTGGCTAACTTCAGAAATGTACTGGTTTACTTAAGAAACAGGTTTATTTGGCTCTTTAAAAAAAAAAAAATTTAAAATCTACACGATAACGTGCTAGTCTCTGCAGGCGCCCAGCACACACACACACACACACACACACACACACACACACACACGTTCACTCGTTTTAGCTGGGGGTGGGGTGGGAGGGGGGTAAACACAAAAAAACAATATTTGTTTAGAACTCCAATTAGAACAAGCCCAATAAATACTTTTTTGCATATGCTTTTTTAAAAAAACACACAACTAAAACGTCACTCTTAACAGTTATTTGGCAAATAACCCATTTATCCTAACTTTTAAATGTAAGAAGCTTTCCTTTGCAACATCCTCTTTCCATTCCAAAATGTTGTCAGACCTCCTCTGTGAAGCCTGTATGCCAACATTAACCAGGAAGAAACAAAACAAAACAACTTTAGTGGCCAAGATGAAGGTGTAGGACTAAGTCGCCCTCAAAACATCCCATTCCCTTCTCTTTATATGTAGATACCCTTTATCACCACATTTGTGGAACTTTCCTTAAGGAACCCCCCCAACCTTTAAAAAGCTACCCAACCTTTTGAGTGTAATTAACACCCATTTTAAATGGCGGATCTCATTGTTGAGAGTCTCCATAAACCACCTGGCACACTGAGAGGGTTTAAGTAAACGTTAACTGGGACAGTGTGGATTGGGGAGCATGCCTTTGTGGCCTAGATTAACTGCATCTATTTTTGCTGCAAATTCCCCCGAAAATACAGTGGGGGTTTTGTTGTTGTCTTTTAGTTTAAATAAACATCAAGGATAAAGGATGAGTTGCATAAGCATGTGATTAAGATTTTTTTTTAAATATATTTTATTGATTTTTTACAGAGAGGAAGGGAGAGAGATAGTTAGAAACATCGATGAGAGAGAAACATCGATCAGCTGCCTTCTGCACATCCCCCACTGAGGATATGCCCGCAACCCAGGTACATGCCCTTGACCGGAATCGAACCCGGGACCCTTCAGTCCCCAGGCCGACGCTCTATCCACTGAGCCAAACCGGTTTCGGCAAGATTTTTAAAAATACATACATAAGCCCCAGAAATGTTTCAAAATTATTTTAAATTACTTTGGAATACCTACAGCCATGAGGTCCTGCGATAAACAGAATGTTCAAAGCCATGTTCCCCAAATATTTAGTGAGTTCTAAATAAAATTATCCCTAGATTTAAATTATTTACATGAAATTATTGTTTGGTTTCTGTATTCGCTTAGCATCAAAAAGGTAATGGTAGCGCACCTTGCTTGCTTACATAAGGGTACTGTAACTATACTATTTTGTACAAAATAAATGTCAAGGTTAGCATACAATGTTGTCATACTCAAGACAGAAAATCTTAACAGAAAAACAAACCATATCTTGTTCTAGTAACTGCCACTCTATCCTTTACAATGTATGTGCTATATTTAAACTTTCCTTAAAAATACATTCAGTGATTTTGTATCACATAGTATCACTGAGGTGTTTTCTCAGTGTTTCACAGCCAGCCAAGGCCTTCCTGGAACAGTAGTCTTTGCATAAATTATCATATTTCTCTACACTTGACAGTTGGACCAACCAGTTTTCTAATTGGCTTGGGAAATTTTTAAACATATTTTAAAGTGCCTTTGGATTGGTTGGAATTTAATTGTAATACCCATTTTGAAGGATTACATTTCAAAAGAGTCCATTATTCACTGCAATTAGGACCCACCAAGCAAGTTTTACAGCTGTTGCTCCATAGCTCCAATGAAATATTAATGGATTTCAGAAAGCTATTCTCCTAAGTCAGCCAAAACCCCAAAGAAACACAAATCTGACTTTGAAAGATCACCAAACAAAACTGAATTCATAGACCCATAGAGTACGGATAGTGCAGGCTTTTTGAAGAATGACATTTTCTGAGAGCCTCCTGCCTCCTATATACTTATACACATTATTGACTGAATCTCCATGAAAGCCTATACTAGTAGAATAAGGCTTAGTTATCCTGATTTTGCAGATGAGGCTCCTGATGATATTAGTAATTTGCCTGGAGTCATCAGTCTAGTTAGGGCTGGTGTGGGAAACCCAGGTCAGGTTGATTCTAAAACTCGCCCTTCTCTTCAGTCCCTGAAAAGGACTTGGAAACAAGCAGTCCTTGCTGTTTGACTATAAACAGGGCTCAGTGCTGTGGCCTAGGCAGAGGGACAGCCCTCCACTTGGTGAAGGCCGACTTTGAGAATGCCAGTTGTAATTTTAAAATTGGGGGGGGTGGGGTTGCAAAATACTGGGACAGCAGTGGGGAGAATTTCAGGTTCACCAGGCACCACCAAAATTGAAATCATTTAATATTAAAAAGAATAAACAACCTTTTCATTTCCCCCATGTGATTAAAAAACATTTTAAACAAGGAATATTCCTGTGTATGTAAAATATAAGTTATGGTTTATATAGACAGGATTTGGGTGTCTAAATGTAAGATTAGGAAACTTTTTAAGAGGAACGTTCTTTTTTGTTGTTGTTGTTAATCCTCACCCAAGTTTATTTTTCAGTTGATTTTTAGAGAAAGTGAAAGGGAGGGAGAGAGACAGAGAGAAACATGTGAGAGAGACACATTTAGTGGTTGCCTCTGGCACAGGCCCCGGGACAAGGCCAGGGGATCAGGGATGGAGCCTGCAACCAAGGTACATGCCCTTGACTGGAATCGGACCCAGGACCTGTCAGTCCACGGGCCAGTGCTCCAACCACTGAGCCATACTGGCTAGGGCAAGAGGAATGTTCTTAAAATGGCTTACCTATATGCAAATAACTTTAATTGTACTGACTACAATTTAATTATGTACAATTAAATGGTCACTCCTATGGTTCCTACCTGTGTAGGTGGCCCAGAAAGAAGGGCAACTGGACACAGAAAAAAAAAAAAAAAAGAGGATGTAATTATAGTTGAAATGTTCTAGCAGGCGTCTGGGCCTCCACATAAGCAGGTCCAATGTCCACGTAACAATTAAAAGTGAAAATGCTTCTGTTTTTTATGTTCTCCCTCCAAATGTTTCCCTCGTTGGCTGGCTATTCTCAGAGGGGGGTGCATGCAAATGCCAGAGCTGAGGTGGCCACACACAGGACCAGGTGTGCCCTGACCACAGAGATACCAAAATACACCAGGTGAGCTAGCAAGTGCTCCATGCCGTGTTTGTGAAATAAAAATGTAAGCATTCTCCATGGGCAGAAATAAGGTGCCTGCCTTCACCTGAGCCTCAAGAGGAACTTACATGCTGGGCTTTAGTGCCCTGGCTCTGTGCTCCGACTGCCCTGGGTTCAAATTCCACCTTTGTCACTCACCAGGTATGTGGCTACGGGCGTCACTTCGCCCCTCAGCACTTCAACTTCCTCATCTATAAAAAGGGGATAATTATAGTGCCCATGTCTGCAAGTTATTTTAAGGATTTAGGAGCTAGTGCTTGTGAAATGTTTATCACGGCGTCTCGGTTTAGTTGTGTGTCAGGCTGAATCATGTGAAATCTTCCCATGTAGATTCCCAGTGGCAATCTCATGTGATCCAACCTTATAGGTCTCTCTCATGTCCCCTCCAGAGTTCTTTGTAGGGAGTGAGCTCACAGCCAGTACTCGTATGATAGAAGAGAAACAGCCCTGTCCACAGGGTGTATAAGAATACAAGAAATGCCGAAACCGGTTTGGCTCAGTGGATAGAGCGTCGGCCTGCGGACTGAAGGGTCCCAGGTTCGATTCCGGTCAGGGGCATGTACCTGGGTTGCGGGCACATCCCCAGTGGGAGATGTGCAGGAGGCAGCTGATCGATGTTTCTCTCTCATCGATGTTTCTAACTCTCTATCTCTCTCCCTTCCTCTCTGTAAAAAATCAATAGAATATATTTAAAAAAAAAAAAAAGAATACAAGAAATGAATGTGTCTCTACCTAGAGACCTATAGAGAGGGGTGGGCAAAAGAAGATGTACAGTTATGAGTATGCAAAAAACAGAGTTTATTCTCGTATTATTTATTAATTATTGTGCTATTTTCCATACAAACAATTGTAAACTGACTTTTGCCCACCCTATATTAAGGGAGTACAGTAAGTCTCCTTGAACCACATAAAACCATTATCCAGTTGATCACAGGCAGCACAGCCTTATGGTTTAGAGTGGTCCCCAGCCCCCATCAGTTAGAGCTTCATCATTGCCACTTTCTAGCTTTGTGATCTTGGCCTCCTTTTTTCACTTCATTTACCTCAGTTTCCTCATCTGTAACGTGCAAGTAACAATACCTGTATCTCAGGTGGCAGGGGGACAGTTAAATGACATTAGATATACAAAACCCTGGCTTTGGTGCCTGGCATGTAGTAAATTACTCACTAACAGTTGGCATTACATTATTGTTGTGGTTAACACTGGCATTAAGAAGCAACGTGGAAATGTTTTCAAATCAGTGGTAAACAGTTCACTTGCAGTGGTCACAAATGTTTCAATACTTCGCCCACGTTAGCATTTTATTTGATACATGAATAAATCATCTTTGTAGAGACCGAGGCTATTCTAGTCATGACACATTTCAAGCTGGTCATTTTCCTTGACAGATTTAAAAATAAAAATCTGAACTCCTACAAGCCTCTGGAACAAGGATAAGGAGGATAAGCAGAACTGTTGTTTAAAAAAAGAGGCATTCAGCACTCCCCTGGCCTTGCCGTGTCACACATCCAGCCAGTTTCCCTAGAGTGAGGGGGAGGACGGCCATCAGGTTAGGAGGCCCAGCTGAGCTGCTGGAAGGCAAGGGCTGGAGGCGGTGCTCACCAGCTCCCAGGCC